ATTAGCATTCAGCCTGGCTAGAAAGGCCGTAAATCCATCAACATGGAGAACTTTTATACTCTTCAGCATTTTCCATGGAATCATAGGAGAAGGCTCCTCTTTTGATGCTACCATTAAAGGAATTTCCTGGGTAGCTGTTGAAAGAGCCAGTGAATAAGATGGTTGTTTGATGTTATAAGGTAGGCTGAGCTAGAAGGGGCGATGGTGCCCGTGGGTGCTGTTGCGGTAGAGATGGTGGTGGGTGGGGAAGGCGCTTGGGATCACTTAAAATTGAGCCTCATTTGACCAAAATTATTTGGGTAAAATGGAGTTTTGATTATTGTTTTATTGAAAAACACATGGTTAAAAAGTGAAAAAAAAAAAAAGATTTAAATGTAGAATATTTTATTGTGTAAATGTGTGGTTAAAAATAAATATATAAAAAAAAATTGAAATAATGATCGTCAAAGAAGAGCTGAATTAGAAATAATGTTTGTCAAACGTGAAGGCTAAATAATAGACTTATATAAAAATAAAATTGAATATTTTATTTATTTATGTATCTCATTTAGAGTGTGTTTGGTAGGGATTTTTGGGGAAAAAATTGATTTTTGAATAGTAATATTATGGGAAATGTGTGGTTGAAAAAGAAGAAAAAAATATTGATGTGATGGAAAATATTATTTTATTGAAGAATGTGTGGTTGAAAATGAGAATTGATTTACTGTAGAAAATGAAAATCTGTACCAAATAGGCCCTTAATNGGTGTGTTTGAATCATATTATTTTGGAAGAATGTATTATGGAATAGTAGATTGATGGAGAATGTGCGGTTGAAAAAAAAGAAAAAATTATTGATGTGATGGAAAATATTACTTTATTGAAGAATGTGTGGTTGAAATTGAGAATTAATTTACTGTAAAAAATGAGAATCGGTACCAAACAGGCTCTTAATACTATATTAGTACCATCTACATTGATGATAACACTACTCTTTAAAATTAGTCAGAGTAAGCTCTTGTTTAATCCTCAATATTTTCAAAATATTTTTTCTCTCTCTTATTTTCAGACATACATTTTTCAATAAAATTATATTACACGCAAATTCAAAACTTTTCTTTATTTTTTAGCAACACATTTCTATCAAAATGTTATTACAAAATGCATTTTGGAGGGAAAAAAAAGAGAGGCTCAAGCAGACGATAAATATTACTCTTTAGTTTTATCGTGCGAAGATCGCATGATCAAGACGAACATTGAATTAAGGACCTAAGTGATTGGGACCTATGTGCTCACTCTTGCGAAGGACTCTTGAAACAAAAAGTGCATAAAAAGCTTCATTAAGAAAATACAATTCGCTTTGCAATGGTATTTTGTCAAGATGCTTATTATATTATTTATTCGTGAAAACACTCCGATAGAATTCAATTGAACAAGTTGATCTAACAATCGCGATTTTTTTGAGTTTGTTTAGAATTATTCATGATGTTGTTGGTTGTGCCCAAAACTTGAGACTCGAGAGTAAAATTTCCTAGTGGAAGGAGTTCAAAAAGCAACAATTAAATGAAATTTTTTCATTAGAAAATAGAGTTGTGAAATCAAATTTGGCCAATGTTCTTGAGCCACATTATTTTGGAAGAATGTATTCTGTAATAGTAGATTGATGAAGAATGTGTTGTTGAAGAAGAAGGAAATGTTATTGATGTAATGGAAATTATTATTTTATTGAAGAATGTGTGGTTAAAAATGAGTAGAAAAATGAGAATAAAAAAATAATTTGGACCAAACAGGCCTTTATAGTAAAATCGGAAAAGGATTTTGGCCATTCGTGGAAATCTATGTCAAATTAAAGCTTTTAGAGCATCTCAAAAAAACTCTTTAAACATGAGATACTCTCTATTTTAAAGAGTCAACATTTAGAGCTTGTTTGATGCACATTAAAATAAGAGAATACATTTTTTTAAAGTGATGTGATGAAAAATATGTGGTTGAAAAAGAAGGAAAAGTTATTGATGTGATGAAAAATATTACTCCCTCCGTCCCATATATATAGGCTCGGTTTCCTTTTTTTCTTGTCCCAAATATATATGACTGTTTCTTAATTGGGAATGTTATGTTTTGTTATTTTACTAATATACCCTTATTTAATTTGCCTAGTTACTAATTCCAACAATAATTTACTTCTA